TGAGTGCCGTTTTTTGTCCGCTTTACCCCAAACGGACATATCCGAACATGATAGGGTCGTGCGGTGGAGTTGGCCTAAGTGCGTGCACGTACGCTAGCCGCTGAAGGCCGATCGAACATTTGTGTTGAGAGCGGCGTTAGAGAGGACGAGCTCGTTTACTCCTGCTACGTGGCTCAATGGAACAAGTGCGATGTGGTGGGCCTCTTCGGCTATGCGCACACATGCACAGGGACTGTCGATACGGAATTTTTTTTATGAGACTAGGTCTCACAGGCACATCATGTGATACCCTCCTCAATGGATGACACATGACATTCACAATCTCAAAGCACCAACTCTCACTTTGTCCATTAACTTCTAATCCGGACGGCTATTCCCGATTGATTGCAGCTTACGTTTGAACAAGTACGTACAAAAGTACTTCCTTTGAACTAAAACCACGACGAGTAAATCGAAACGAAAGGAGTACGACTTTACGTTCGTGCTGGTCACGCGCCAAAAGCCGATGCTGATTGCTAGGCATACTCCTTGTCGACGGCGGCTATGCTGAAAGATGACCCCTTGTTGACGGTGGTCATGCGTCAATACGTCCTCGCCGGACCAGACTAACTCCTCGACAGCAGCCGGGCACCAAGATGCACGCATTAGCTTGTCATCCACATGTTCCTTTCCAGCGCTGCAAGTGCGCCGGACAGCCGATGTATGAACTCACCCTTCTGACATACATATAGTTGCTTCATTGGCAAAACAATTCGAGTGTAAATTGCCGTGGCTTCACCAAACTAAAAGATTGGTGTACTTTTCTCTTTAATCAAACGAGAGGGGGAGAAAGAGATGTTTAATTGGGTGACACATAGTCGTCTGCAAGTTAAGCAGTACACAAGGTATTGGCGTCAAATTTTCTCGGTGTACTGCTTAACTTGAACAGGCTTGTAAGACATGTGGTGCAGCTTATTTGATCAACAGGCTTGTGTACACATTGCATATGAATTCCTACGCTTGAACAGGATTGTAAGGCAAGTGGAATTCACGTATTCTGAAGTAGTATAAATATTTTCATTTACTGTTTCTCTTGTGTATGATATCATAGTGTTCGCTATTTGCAACAAGCTCTTAGTACAATCATATGGTTTCAGAAGCATGCATAAGAAAATACATACTCCCTCCGTCCGGAAATACTTGTCATCAAAATGAATAAAAAGGGATGTATCTAGACGTATATTAGTTCTAGATACATGTCTTTTTATTCATTTTGATGACAAGTATTTTCGGACGGAGGTACTATATGTTCGGCGTCACATAGCAGCCGGATGCATCTTGCCCCACGGTTGCCATTGCGCTCTATGGGCGACGAGACCGTTCGGCACACCCATGGGCGAGAAGGCATCCTACCATCATGTCGTACGAACACTAGAGACGAGATCGCTGGGCGCAGCGACCATGGATGTGGAGTCGTGGTAGCATGAAGCCACGCGGTCGCTAGCGACGAGTTCGTTGGGCATGGCCATCGACGACAGGTCTTGGTCGCATGGTACTGTGCGGCCGCCGGGGATGAGGTCATCCGGCGCCGCCATGGATGAGAGCAGCATGCGAACCCTAACTCGTGGGGTATGAGTTACGTAGATATCTCTACAACAGGTTAATAAGGATACATACCTGATTGGTGTTAAAAAAGGATACATACGTAATTGGAATCGGGAATGGGAAAGTGGGCAATGTGGGATTACGTGCTTTGAGATCAACCTCGCCACGTGTCATCCATCAGGAAGGGTCTCACGCAATGGCCTGTGAGACCTGGGCTAATCGTATCCGGCGGGGGATAACGGCAGGGGAAGTGGATCCTCTAACATCCTCAAGGGATGTCATGAAGCTACAGTGAAATGCGTGTGTAAAATGAAGAATGAATGTCAGAGTTACTGTAGCAACTAATGTGCGGATTTACTGTAGCATATATAAAAATAAATCAAAAAATATTTTTATTGCACCATAATTTTGTTTGTATGTAATTTTTGTAAATGTATACAGTAGATTTGTAATTTGCAACTTAATTATAATCATTTTAGGCTTAACCATATGGATGTGAAGGAGAGATGTCACGGTTGTTGTAGCTTACGTGACATCCCTTGAGGATGTTAGAGGATCCGGTTCCAACGGCAGGTCCTACAACTGTACTGTTAGTACATAAATGTCACGGCCAACT